ATGTGAGTCCCCACTTTTCTAAACCTCTTTCACAGGCTACCATTGTTTTGCTTGAGGACCAGCAAAAGATTAAGTCGAGGGAGTTGATATACCTTATTATTTACAAGTTTTAGACCATGTTATGGGCCCTATTTAGAGTCTATTATGTGTGTCTAGACTATGTTTTAGAGTTTTTACGGGTCCAGGTACATTTTGGAGTTATGTGGAGCATATGGAGCTTTTTGTATGAAGAAACCCGTAGCTGACAAGAATCAGGTAAGTCAGAGTCAATACACAAGATTGGCGTCGATTGGCCGTTGAAGCGCACAGACCCAACTTTGCTCAGAACTGACTTAAAACCCAAGTTACACATAATTTCAAGATTACCCTTGGACGGATTTTAACCTAATTTACAAAGGTTTTTGCCATTGTTAGGCAGAAGACCGTGCTTTTGTTTCTAGAGTTTTTCATATTGTTTTAGTGAAGAAAATCAAAACTTCTTCATAGCTTTTGTATTGAGACCCCAGATTATTATCTATGCATTATATTCAGTCTTATATGTTTGTTGGCTTGATAATGTCCGACTAGTTTTACCTTGTTAGATATATGATTCTTAATGGTATCGATGGGTTAGCCAAAACTAGAATTGTTAGGATGAATTAATATCCATCAATTAGATTTTTTCTTAATGCATGTGTTCTAGAGTAGCTAGCTAGAACCTGAATTTTAGACATAGACAACTGCGAGAGTAGGTTCTGTGCCTGAATAAATTATGTTGAACTAGATTGTTAGATGCATGTGAAATATGGTTGATCAATTTAGTGGACATATCAACTCGTCATACTTCAAGTCTGATTTTACCATCGATCGACACCAGTGTTACACCGTCGAATGATGGTGGTTCTCTCTGTTCGTATCGATAGTTGGAACAAGGGAGAAGCGGATTAAGTTGTCAATTTAGTCCTAGCATATTAGTGTAACCATGCATTCTACCAATTATAATCCACATGCCAAAACCCTAAATCTAGCTATTTTCCATATTTTATTTCACTTAAGTTTCGAATATTTCATGTTTACTCAAACCTGATAACCACTATAAAAACATCACCTAGCTTAACCATTAGGATCATACAAATCTATTATGTGTCTTTTCTCTCTGTGGATTTGATCCCTAAATATTTCAACTCGATCTCTCTTTGCAAGAGTATTGTAGTTGTTTCATAGGGTAATTTGATAGATTGAATTAAAATACTTTACACCTTAACGAAACTCCATGTCAGGGACCAATGCACACGTCCACCTGAAAACCTGGAGCATAGATGTAAAATTTTAATGATTGATTGTCAAGGTGCTTTGAGAGACATCAGAAGCATTATCCTAACAAGCTGCCATGGACTAGTTCGACCACCAGAACACTCAACAAGGTTCATACATGGTTTTGGAGATCCAATACCTCATTCTGATCAAGGTGAGCAGTCAATACATACTGATATAGCAATGTCTGAGTTGTGTGTATGGAATCAATGGAGAGAAACTCATTCGGAAGCAACTGGATTTGAGCCAAATAAAGGAGAAAAATTGATTTCTCTAAATGTTGCTTACAATGAGCAACTTCTAAGGCATGTGAAAGGCTTGAAACACTTTGTATTCAAGCTAAGGAAAAGAGATATTTGTGTGTGAAAACAGGAACCAACTCGTGGTCAAAAGAGTAAGGAGTTTGGTTTTGAGTGATCATGGTTCTATCATCTTACAAGACTCGGATTTAAGGACAAATCCTTTTGAATGGAAATAGGATGATGCAACCATGATCAGCTTCATACTCAAGTACATGAAGTCGATGCAGGAAATATCTAGGCAATGGATTATGCCACAACCTAATGGGTTTATTTCAGAGCTTATTCGCCTCATCCAAGACGTATTGGACAGAGAAAAGGCTATGGACCTTGATGCGGCATTGATAAAGCATGGACAGAGTTTGGACAAGTATGAGCGACCTGTTAGAAACCTCCTTGATCAGGAAATTGTCTGGACAAACCTGGATGGACATGCAATGGAGTGGATAAGCAAGCAAGATCGAGAAATGGACTAGTTTAGCCGAAATGATCGAGAAATGGCTTGGAAATGGAAGATGAAGATCAAGAGTTGGAAATGGATCAACAAGAGCCTTCTTATCAACCAAATGGGCCTGAGAAGCACAATGATCGGATCGGAACTGAAGCGTAAAGAGCCCAACAAGGAGTTGGTAAAAAAAAGGCCTTTATCAACTCAAAAAGTGGAAGGATAAGCCATTTTGGTTTATGTTTGGCCCAAAAAGATTAGCAACGACCAATATTGTATTGTTTAAATGTTTTGGTTTTATTATTTATGTAAATCCATTTGAGATAGGTTTTGGGCTTTATAAATCCACTAGAAGTCGGTTTGCTTACTTAAACCAATTAGCAATATGATTGGGATTATATTTTGGTTTGACTAAACCACAATGGTTTAGGCTTAGGGTTTTATGTTGTATGCTATTAAAAAAGATCACCACTTCATGTAACATACTAACATCGTTTTATCAAATTTCTTTTGGGATTGTATTTCTGTTCTTCTTGAACAATCGATTTCTGGTGCGTCATATCCTACAGTCAAACTCAATCAAACTTGGGGCGTCATATCCAAAGATGATTGTTATATGGTATATGAGAAGCCATTCCACAACTTCTGTGTGACCTTTCAATCCAATTTTTTCTTAGTTCTTGGTAATAACAACCAAAGGCTTATCCATCGCCATCCAAATTACCTAGCAAGCTTGTGATCCCTTTAACCCACGTCCTTCAAATGATCCAGGAAAAGACAGCCTATCGAAGGCCGTATCAACTCTTTTCCAAGCCGTTGGCTTTCCGGTTCTTTATCACCCTCTGTGTGACACCCCAACCTAGCATAACTGGAAAATTCGCCGATATCAGGACACTTATCTCCAGCCACAAGAGCCAAAACAATGTGTCTTTAGGATCTCAGGATGTCTTTGACAAAAACCCACCAACATGAACCGGACCTGAAATGGAAAGGGAAGAATGAAAAATACTCAGTGAGGAAAGCTCCATGAGCCCCGGAATCCTCACCCAACATTCACCACACGACATAACAACAGCTCTACCTAGAACATCCAGTAAAACAAGAGCAAACAACAAGAAACGAGGATAAATCCCGACGGTGCCAACATGAGACCACGCCACCTCATTCGGTCCCTATGTTCCTACTGTTGTCGCGTTAGAACTCATATAACGTTGTCTCCACGACATCATGTTGTCTGCACGCCTTCACACAATCAAGTTACCGACTTCGTTTCACGCTTAAACTGCCACCATGTTCATACGTTTCACGTGGAGAAGTTGTCTCCACGACATCACGCTACCATGTTCTTACTTCATACACAATCAAGTTACCGACTTTGGTTGACGCTTAATCTGCCACCATGTTCATAAGTTTCACATGGAGAAGTTGTTTCCACGACATCACGCTACTATGTTCTTAGTTCATACACAGGCATGCCACATGACCGCTCCGGCGATGAATCATGCCAACTCACACGATTGCCACATGATCCAACAAGAAACGATGCAACACCCGAGACTTGCACACTTCCACCACGTTGCAATGGCACACATAGGCCTTACGCCTTTCTATAACTCATATACATCACCCACATATACATTATCCACGTATACCATAACCCTAACCATTACATACAATCCTCAGACATCATTCAACCATATTCAGTTTAGCAACCTATGAATAGATCTAGTTGTTCACACATTGAAATACAGTATATATGTGTATTAAATATATGATATATTCCACGTATCAAACAAATACGCATATGCTTATAGATAACACGTACGTATGAATGATTTAGTTAGAAACTCCTACTATGATGAAATAATGAAAGAAAGAAGAAGATATTACATCAGTCCTCGCCTTGGCCTTAGATATGCAAATGAAAAGAGAGAAGAAGAAGATCTGAAGCTTATGGATTTCCACGAACCAGATCTACAAAGAAACAGGTAGGTGCTACCACCAAAGACTCATAATGAGAGATCTAAGAGAATGAATAGAAAGGAGAATGAAAACTATGGTTCTTTATCTCACCAGTGACCAAATATAGAGAGAAGATAAGGCAGATCTAAACAACGAGAGAGATCGGTTAGTTGCAGATCTCCAATGGTTTTTCTTCGTCTTCAAAGAAGCGAGAAGACTCCAAAGCATCAACATTAAAGCAGCTCCTTTGAGGGTATCATACAGAAAAGATAACAAGATGAAGAGAAGGAAGAAGTAACAAGATGGAGATTCAGATTTGAGAAGACAAAAGAGAAGAAGGTGGCTAGGGTTTTGATATCTCTCTAGAACTCTGCAAGGCTTCGCTCTGGATTTGTGATGGCAGAAAAAAGAAGATGATGAAGGCTTCTATCTGTAAGAAAAGGAAGAAAAAACCTAGGGTTTACTACGTGGGCCAGAATTAAAAGAGCAAGGCTTGATGAGTTTTGGACCAAATAAAATTAATAATTAAAAAAAAAAACCATCCCGGTTTAGGAGAACCGGATGTGACACTCTGTCTTCTTCCTGTTTCTTCGCATACTTCTTCATTTTCTTCTTGTTTCTTTAAGAAATTGGTTTGGATCTATCTTTCTATTGGTCCTGCAATTGGTTTAGACAATCTGTTATACCCTTACGGCCTTTTATTACTCTCTGCTTCAACTTATTCGCTTACTTTTGGCACATAGTTGATTTTTGATGCTATCTTCTCTCATTTTATTAATTCTTAGAATATCACTTTTTGGACTGGCATGTCAGTAATACTCCTTACTATCTCTGCTTTAGTGATTACTCTTGAAGGTGATTTAGACAGTCCATCAGGAGGATATAAGTGGACTTACATGATTGGTTGTTTGCTTATGCTTCTTGCTTCTCTTATGTACTCTCTTCGGCTCTCTCTTATTCAATAATCATTTGAGAAGATCATCAAGAGAGAGACGTTTGGTATGGTTCTTGAAATGCAAATCTACACATCTCTTGTTGCCTCTTGTTGTTTCCGTTATCGGGATTGTTGCAAGTGGGGAATGGAAGATGCTGAGGATGGAGATGGAAGAGTTTCACAAGGTCAAGTTTCTTTTGTTTTGACTTTGGTTGGGACAGCATTTTCATGGCAGTTGGGTTCTGTAGCAGCCAATGCACTTATGTTTCTGGTGTCTTCTCTGTTTTCAAACCTTACGAGTACGCTCTCTCTCATTATTGCGCCTCTTGCAGCACTTGTGGTGTTCGATGACAAGTTGACTGTGGTTAAGATTGTCGCAATGCTATTCGCCATCGCGGGAGTAGGTTTTTACATGTACAAGAACTATCTTGATGATTTGAAAGTTCAAAGAGCAAGAAAAACTCAAAGATGATGCATTCGTCATTCTTTGATCTATTAGTTTATCTATAATGTTAATTTAAGACAAGTCCATTAGGAACCGGCTGTCCATGATGACAAGGTCTGCAGACAAAAGATATGGTAACGCTCTTGGAGTTTTGTTTTCTCGTTAAAAAGCTCTGGAAAACATTGTCATGGAGAAAAATTAAATCTCTGATGCATTTGATATAGAAAGGATTTTTGATGAATAGATTTTAAATTCTTGTTGAAATTTACTGAAAATCAATATTTAAACATAAATTTCAGTAAAATATACTGTTAATTTACTGAAAGTGTTATTGAAAGTTAATGAAAATACTAAAATATCATTAAAATACAATTAAAAGTGTGAGACATAATGAATATTATATGTTCACATATAATCACGAGGAATATCATATGATAATGCGAAAAAAGTTTATCACGAAAATAACACACAAGGGTCAAAATAACTAAAAATATGTTTCATTAAACAGGTAAATAACATTTATGGTCTTACACTAAATATATATATATATATATAGTTAAACTGAAATTTAAATTAATATTTTCTTAAGAAAGTTAGAAAATTTATTTTGAAAAAAATCTTCAAACTTTTCAAAAAAAAAAAATTCAAAATCATTTTTTTGGAACCGAATTTCTTTAAGAAAAATTAGGAAAATCATTTTGAATATGTATAATATTTTCCTGAATTTGAGTTTCGGAAGACATTCTTCAAATGTATATATCTTCCTAAATTTTAGTTTAAAAAGACTATCCTAAGTACAATGTCTTTCTAAATTGTAGGAAGATATTGATAAATATGTATAATATCTTTATTTTATTTTTGACAACGAACAGCCATTTAATTATTCATACTTGAGGTGGTCTGGATAACCAGACCGAAACTGAACACCAATATAATAAACCTCACAATAAAAAGATCTTGTAGTCTTAGCTAAAAAGTCAGAAATTCCATTTTTTCGCTCTCGGGATATAAGATGTCTTGAAGTATGGAAAGCATATCAGAAGTGTCTTTGTCCCCTCTAGTTTTGTTGCAAAACTTGCCCAACCGCGAGGTGCCTTTATATCTTTATAAAATTTATGAAAATATATAATAAAATATTTTTGAATTTGTATAACATCTTCCTAAAGTATTATGAATTTGATATCTAAATTTTATAAAGATGTTATACATATTTTAAAGCATCTTCTTAAAATTTTAGGAAATGTTATTAAAGAAGATGACATAAAATTTAGGAGAACTACCTAGATATACATATAAGTTACATTCACGAAGTTTATTTACACTTATGAACACATTCATGAATTCAGATTTTTTTTTAACAAATTCAGAAATATATCATAAACGTTCATGAAAGTGTTCATAAACATTTTTAATAAGAATCATTATACAAAAAAAATGAAAACAAATTCTATATATCCTAGGATAGCACTAAAAACATTATCACAAAAATAGCCCCAGATATCAAAATGACCACAAGAGGTTTTATTAAGAGGTAAAAATAATAGCCCCAAATATAAAAATCAAAAAATTCAAAAAGTTTTGAATATTCTTATGAAAAAAAAAAATTCATATGTATAGTTTGGGTACAAATGTCTTTAGTTCTTCAATAAAACTTCTTTTTATCATTTTCTCTCTTTGTGTGTTTGTTTGGTCATAATTTTTTTTTAAGTTTTCAGGGAGATTAAAAAAAATGAATACAATATTCTGAATTTTATTTTTGAAAGTATCATAAAATAAATATTTTTGTATGTTATTTTCGAATTTTATAAATATTTATTTACTTTCTATATTCAATAAATAATTATTAAAATATAAATAAAGATATAATTGTAGTTAACCTTCTAATAAAATTTATTTTGGTCATTTTAACTTTTGGATGTTATTTTGAGGATAAAAACAAAAATTGAATTATTAAGAGATTTGTCATATAATCCATACAAATACAATATCAAAGTAATTGTAACAAGAACAACTCTAATATGTAAGCTCTCCGGCCTCATGATCTCCAGCAAAGTCAGCGTCATCAGCCTCAAGCTCAAGCTCAACCTTATGCTTAACCTCAAACATCTCATCACGTTAAATAATCCTACTTTAGATAGATGGTGTAATGAAGAACAACATTACACCATCTGAAACTTGGTTAGTAGGTTTTAAATATGAGTTGCTTGAAAAAAAAAACAAGTTTATGTAATTTGCTTGTTTTCTCTTGACTATTTTGAAATCTGAAACTCTCTGTAATATAAAATTGTGTTTCTAATTGAAAAAGGACTTCAAATTCGTTGTTGTTTCTAGTAATTAATATACTTTTAAAATCACACAAAAACGTTAAGATTTTCATATTTTAATCACACACGAAAAGAGTCATCTATATTTCGTTGAGAAACGCTATGAAATTAATCATATAAATTTTGTTGCTAAATTAAATGAAATACTTCATGGGTATTTGATGGTAAATTACCACAAAATAATCGTGACAGTTTTATGACAAAATACCACGAAATATATCGTAAAATTTGTGATAAAATACCATGATATATAACATGAAAATTTCATGGTAAAATGTTATAAAACTTTCGTGGAAAAATATGGAATTTTTAGCCACAATATTTCCGTGCCTATGAGCATTCGAGATTTTTTAACTTGTGATGAGAGATTAGAAGATCAATTACTAATAATTATAGAAGAGCTATGTTAAGTTTGTTTTAATATTTGATTTTTTTTCTTTTTTTCTTAACTGGTGATTTCTATTTAATGTTTATCTGATAATTATGAATGATATTTTTTTTCTTATTTATATAGTCTAAATAATGGGGATGTAGGATTTTGGACTCATACAAATAGAAAATGTAAATTTTCTCTCTCTTTTTTTTTTGATGTATCCTAGAAAAAGAAAGGTGCCTTTTATTGTTAGACTTTGTTGTAACTTTTAACTTTTAAAAATAAAATTATGTTATGATTAGTTAGCTATTCTGATTTGAAAATAAATGAAACTAAAGAAGCAAGTTGATACCTCAACCAATCACAAAAAAAAACTATAATGGTTTATATATTAATGGAGATGTATTTTAACATGTGAGCTATAATGATATATTATCATTAGAATGACTAGGACATTTTCCGGGCTAAGCTCGGGTTAATTTTTTTATAAAATTATTACAATAGTCATGAACTTATGGATCGAAAAGATAATTATATGTCTATCAAAAATAAAACTTATAAAAAAAATAATATAAAAATTGTTTAATGGTAAGTTCGAAACAATTTAGTTTACGCATGTATTTGTTTGTCATCTAAAACATAGAGTGCTAAAATATTTAACTAACTTCATAGCCAAAAATAAGTATAAGATTTAGATATGAAGTTTTCACTAATCATCAACACATAATTTTATTGCCATCAGTTGTGAAGAAATAAATCGTAAAAAAAATGTTGAAAAATATGTCTACGATAATTCTCAGATTTTATACACCTTTTGAATTCCAAACAAACAAAAAAATTGTTATGATTTGGAAGATACATACACTGATACTAATTAGTTTGCTAAATTTACTAAATATGTCCTTTTACATTTAGAGAAGTTATTTTATTTTTGACACATTTTTAAGATTATATGGATAAGAACAATATTAAATTTAATAAATAATATTTACTTTTTATTTAAATAAATTATAATAATATAATTTGGATAAACAACAATGAAACAAAAAGCTCTTTCATGTATCAATAGAACTTCCTTCATTCCGAAAAGACGTGGACATGTTTTACATTCAAACACATGGTATAAATTATACAATAAGTTATTTTTTTAATACTTTACCACACCATTTGTTGCTCTTAGTGAAATCAATTCCCAGAATGTAATTGGATGATTGAACACCAGCTTCTCTTAGAGCTTTTGATACCTTTTAAAAACATTATCAAGTTAAACTTTTGAAGAACATGGAAGTAGAACAGAAGCAGTGGTGGTTAAAAGTCAAGTCAAGTCAAGGACAGAAACTGAGCTATAAAAAGACAAAGGAACCTGGTCAAGGCACGAGAAGTGGTCAGGAATTAGAGCATACTTCTTCTTTGCATTGTTGATCTTATCTAAAAACTGAGATAGAAGGATCCAACGGTGATGGTTCATCAGATGCAGACGACGCATTGTTAATCTTGTCTAAAAACTGAGATAGAAGGATCCAACGGTGATGGTTCATCAGATGCAGACGACGTCGTTGATGAGAGCGTCTTCTTCTTCTTCTTGAAATATGTCAAAGGTTACCTACAATCCTAACATTATTGGACTCCTATCAATCATAATAATAACACATCTCAGCTACAGAGAGAGCTAGCTACTGGACATCACTGGTCCCAAGTGGTTTTAGTTTATTAAGGATGAATCAATATGTTTAAGATTATAAATGGTGAAGAAATCTATTGTAGAGCCAACTAAATAAGCATGGAATCCGGTGCTAATCAACAATAGATTGTTTAGTGAACTTTTAAATACAATTTTTGATATGATACCTCTCACAACGTTTCTTGATATTTAGCAAAAAGCTCACTGTACATGATTTGAAGATCAGACTTCTCAGCTTGTAGTCTTTCGTAATCAGACGCTAAGGACCTTCTAGCTTTTGCTGGATGAATCTGAAAGAAAAACCAAAAAAGGATTATATAGTATTGGATCATGAAAAAACTTCTCAAAGCACTAAAATCTCTAATAAGCAAAAATAAAGGATCATCTAATAGAAAAAGAGTAAGTGTCTAGGAACTTGTACTGGAGAGCAATGAAAGATAAATACTCTTAAATAATGTTATAAAGTTACGTTGAAAGGTATATACAGATGCAAACCTTAAGCGGAACAGGATGGAGCTCTAATGGCCACATAGACATCTCTTATCATAATGCTGCTCTTTGCTGCCCATTTAGGATCAGAAGGGAGTCTTGATTGATCATTTCCGTACACGGTGGGATCTCCTCGAGCGATCTGTGAGCTGCCCCACTTACTATGTGGATGTGTTGAAGCACTGAAGAAACCTTCTTCCGTGAGCTAAGAGTGAGTTCCAAATATAGGTGAAAGCCATCCTTACAAAGTTTCAAAAAAATAAACAAAGTTTGACAAACATCCACCAGAATGTATACTTAGTCCATGTTTTATGGTCAGTTCTTAGACTTTACCTTTTCTAGTCCTTGACGTGTATGAACATCCAAAGGAAAGAGCTGCAACTTCATTTTTCCAGAAAGTCGTTGAACCGAATGGAGGTCAGGACATGTATTTGTTGAGCTCCTCCGTCTTTGGTATTTACACAACTTTGAACTTGAAAGGATGGAGAATTAGAAGGTGACCTCTTCTTCTCCCTTTTACTATTATGCTTTCTTGCCAACAAATCCTTGATAAGAACATTAAAAACAATACAAGTCATTAATAATAAGAATAATCTGAAAATACCAGAGTCATGGAATTTCTTAGTAGTTGTTTTCATGCATTTATTGGCTCTGGTGAAGTTTCCTCTGGCTTTGATATCCTTTGAGGATTCAGTTGAAGTCTCAGTTTTCTTTCTAGCCATTCTGCAAGAAAACAATCAAAACTCAAGAGTCAAAGCCTCCCCATTCAATGTGCTATTCCACAAAGTTTCATAAGGAAAGCTCCGACTATACAAATTCTTCCACAAACGAACTAACTACAATCAAATCAATTCATAACTGTTAAGCAACACACAATTACAAATACAATCAAATTGTCCCGTCCATAAAAAAATTTGATATTTAGCAAAAAAACTCATTGTACATTATTTGAAGATCAGACTTCTCAGTTTGAAGTTTTTCGACCTTCTAGCTTTTGCTGGATGAATCTGAAAGCAAAACCAAAGAAGGATTATATAGTAATGGATCATAAAAAAAAACCTCTCAAAGCACTAAAATCTCTAATAAGCTAAAATAAAGGATCATCTAGTAGAAAAAAGAGTAAATGTCTAGGAACAATACCTTTGGTGAGAGAATCAAGAACTCCACTGGACTCTAAATATTTCCTGAAAGCTTCTTTCTTGGTTTCTTTCTCCTGATAAATGTAGAAACAAAAACAGAAATATATCAAAAACTAAAAGAAACATAGCTTTATGATCAACTCATTCTCTTCTTCGATCTCTTTTGCAACGTGCTTACCGTTTATTTCCGGTGATGTCACGTTACCCTCCAAGGATCCAAGGTTTGGTTATAGTGGTGGAAATCAACAGCCATCTCCTCAGCCACCTTACTCTTCCGGCAGAAACAATCTGCCGTAGGTTAATTGACTTCTTTTCCTTATACTGTGAATTGATTGATCTTAGATCGGAATCGTGAAATGGAAACGAAGAAGAGGGAGAGGAAAAGATACACGATTCCTGGACACAAAATTATGGTTAATGAGAAAGGGGTGAGGAAAGGTAACGACGCTTAGGATGAATTGGGCTTGCTGAGCCATGCAAGAAATCAACAAAGAATACCCATCAAACAAAAAAAACCAAAATCCATAACACTCAATGACGTGGCGAAACGAAATATTTTCATTGGCCGAATATAACTGCTGACGTGGACAAGATATCCCTTTTAGTATTGTATAGATTGTTAGATTTTTTAAATAAATATGTTTAAATTACTAAAATAATTACAATACATGTCATTCATTATTGAGTAACCTATATTTTATTCTCATAAAATTAATTATTAATATGCAAAAAAAATTGTTTTCTTTGAATAAAAGTTAATTACTTACCTAATATGATTTAAATTATATATATGAAAATTAATGATATTAAATAATAAAAAATTTGATAACAATTTATGTTTCCTCTATCAATTTTTCTATTTTTATATTATTGAAATAAATTAAATAATCACACTAATCATATAACTTAATTTTTTTTGAATATGTTATATTTTGCATTCTAAAAAATGACAATAAATTACTAAACTATTTTATGTCTTTTAGATCAAGGGTTTAAAATATATGTTATTAAAATACAAACGATCATTATATAATTATGAATTCTCATTTAATAAATATCCAGATGAAAAAATAAAAAACATATATTTTTATAAGAACATTTAAATTATACTTACACCATATAAATTTATTTAATAAATAATTTGTAAAATATCACCGCAAGTTTACTTAATAATAGAAAATTTAATAATCGCTCACGTGTTATTAGATCTCCCGAAGTTTTATATGATTTTATTTATAATATAGTCGAATATCCATTTCGTTGTTTTCTAGCTTCACCTAGGCACCATTCTTTTTTGTTTGTTTGACTTTAAACTCCGACGATCCTTTGAGTCTTTCCCTCTGCTTCGATTGCCAGTACTGTTTAAGAGGTTAGTTCTTAAACTTTTATTTTTTTTTTCTTCCATGCTCCAGTTTTTGGGATATAATGGTCATTGTTCTTTGAATTGGAAGTCTATACTTTCTGTGTAGACAAAGATCTTCCCGACAGACATTAACGATCTTGGTAGGTGAGATTATGATCGACATTTTTTATCATTCAAAGCGCTAATTTTTCTTAGCTCAACTTGGGGTTCTTACTTAACTTTTAGATTCGTAACTACTGTTGTGTGTTCATCAGCTTGATTACTATTTTCAGATATTAATTCTTTCTTCAATGGTCTAAGTTTTCTTTTTTTTCTTTTTTTCAGAAAGGGTTTACTTCTCAACGTTGTTCGTGTAGGTAAAGATCTTACTGTCCCAAAATTTACGATTGTGGTCGGGGATATTAATATGAACATTCCTGATATCCTGTCCTTTATTTTGCCTTAGCTCACCAGGGGTGCTAATGAGACTTAGACTTCTATAGTATAGAATTTGTTGATTTTAGAAGTGAGAGATTTGTTAAATTTTATAAGAGTTGTAGATAAGTTTGTATATCTGTGAAAATCTATGAAAATAAAATAATAAAATGATGATTTAAAGAATCTAAGAGAAAGATGTAGTATCTAAAAATCTTATTTTGTGAGTTAAATGGTTATGAATGAATACAATAACAATTAGTTTTATAATTCTTAGAATCATTAAAATCTAAAGTTTTGAATAACAAAGCATTTTGTATAGAATTATAAAATCACAAATCAATAACACTATATTTAATTGAGAATTTGAGAATCTATAAAACATCAATACTAGACTTGAAAATTCACATAATCCAGTAACACTTTAGGTATTGCTGTTTGTAGTGATCTTCTAAACGTTTGGATTATTGAAAAAAAAACAATATTTTTTATAGGGGATAAAGAAGCAAATATCACAAGTTATGAACCCTAATCAAGTCTATAATGGGTTTGTGAAACCTGTTCCTACTGAAGAAGAGAAGGGAAAGGTAAATCTTACAACTTCGTTGTTGTTTTAGCTAATTAGAGAAAGCTTACAAATCAGATCTGTGAGTCTTTCTTCTTTTGCTTTTAGATGGAGGAACTTAAAAAGCTGTTAGGGCCATTGCCTGAGAAACTATCAAGTTTTTGTTCGGATGATGCAGTTTTGAGGTATCTAAGAGCTCGCAATTGGCATGTCAAGAAAGCTGCCAAGATGCTTAAAGAAACCTTAAAATGGAGAGTTCAATACAAACCTGAGGAAATCTGTTGGGTACATATTGAATAATGAGCAAAACATTCTTGTGGATACATATGACTAATGTGCTCACCTTTATAGGAGGAGATAGCAGATGAAGCAGCCACAGGGAAGATATATAGATCTAGTTGTGTGGACAGACATGGACGACCTGTTCTTATCATGAGACCAAGTGTTGAGGTTTGTTCATACAATCAATGCAAAGTTTATGCTTGGTTCTATTTTGATTCTCACTATCTTAAGTTGTTCAGAATTCGAAGTCGGTGAAAGGCCAGATTAGATACCTTGTGTACTGTATGGAGAACGCAATCCAAAATTTGCCACCAGGAGAGGAACAAATGGTGTGGATGATAGATTTCAACGGTTATAGCTTGGCGAATGTATCTTTAAAAACTACCAGAGAAACCGCTCATGTATTACAAGAGCACTACCCTGAGCGATTATCTTTGGCCATTCTTTATAATCCTCCCAAGTTCTTTGAACCCTTCTGGAAGGTAAAAACTAAGGCCTACATGATTACTTAATCTCAGGGCCGGATCTAGCAAAAAACATTGGTTTTGGCCCCCAAAATTTTTAGAGATTATTGTAGAAACATAGAGCCCCAAATTATGAATTTCCTTTTTTATGAAATTTTTTTTAAAAATGTATATAACCTCCAAAATCTCAGATCCTATCATGCTTAAATTAAAGTTACGTTGCTGTAAATGCTCAATGGTTATAGGTGGCGAGGCCTTTCTTAGAGCCGAAGACACGGAACAAAGTCAAGTTTGTTTACTCTGATGATCCAAACACCAAGCAGATCATGGAGGAGAACTTCGACATGGAAAAAATGGAGTCAGCGTTTGGTGGAAACGATGACTCGGGTTTCAACATAGACAAGCATTCAGAGAGGATGAAAGAAGACGACAAGAAAAGATTGGCTGCCTTGAAGGATATTGCTTCCCCTTCTCTAGAGTCACTCAGCTTCTTATCGGTCTCTGTTGGTGCCACCTCTGACAGTGCTCATCTCGGTTCTGAAGATGTGTCTGAGGACGAGCATCAGCCTCATCGTACGAGTGAGACGAAGGAATCTATCCCATGATGAGTAGTATCCAATGTTTGTAACGTAACATGAATTTATCTAACGAAACATTGTACGTGTTTTTCAATCATGTTCTCCATATAAGATTTCGTTATATAGTTTTAAATTTTTTTCGGAAGTAATAAAACCATACATTGAACGAAACACAAGATGCAGTTATATTTTAATACCACATGTCTGATAAAACATACTGATTGAGCATTTTAGTCTTCAGTTTCTTGATATTGCTTCATGATCTCTGCACAGCCTGGTGATGCTGCATCCCTTAGGAAACCCAAGTTGTTCGCGAAACGTTCGTCTGAAGCAATGCCGTTGAAACGAGTGAGGGTGACACGGGCACGGTCATGACCAGGTGAGACATTGGAGCAGCGTAACTGAGAGCTACTAACCAACATGGTATCACAGAACTGATCCTCATGGTCTTCGCTAACCAAGATCTTGTATGATCCCGTTGAGTCGGTTCTCGCCTCGTGCGTGTAGGTTAGCTCCATTGTTCTCCTGTCTTTGCACTCCAATCTAACCACCGCACCTGAGGATCAAAAGATCTCAAATCTCCTCTTTATTTAAAAAAATGATGAAACCTTAATAATATTGGATCTCAAGTCCAGATCAGAATCTGACAGTTCGATATCTCAAGATCAATAGAGAGAGATGAAACTGGATCTCGGATGATTTCGTTAGTACGTACCAGGGATGAAAGTAGATGCCGAAGTTTCAAAACCAGCGAGGCAAGTATCGCAATAGACACGGCCTCTGACGACGAATGGGTTCTTGTTCGGACGAGCCGCCATGGCTAGAGCCGGTAAAATGCAGAGAGCAACCAGAATAATGACTTTCGACATCGCAATATCTGGAAAATGTTCAGTGAAGGATAAATTTGTTTTTACCGAAGATTTGAGATTTGAAAGAGAAAGCAGAGAGTTATTGAGAGTGAATGATGAAGTGGGGCACCTTTGTTTGTGTGTCGATAAAACAGAATGATTGAGACGGTGTGAAGTGGTGTTCTCTCCTACGCGCTGAACTAGAGAATCCGTTGTTGACTGTTGTTACATGTATCAGGCTATTGATGTGGTGGCTTAATATAATTGGCTGGAGTGTAGCTTTTTCAAACGTCTTACTGTAGAAGACTGCTGCTTTTTCTTTTCTTTTTGTTGGCGTATTACCAAAGGAAGAAAGATCATAATTGCCATAATTACTTTTTCTGTTTTCTCCAACACCATAATTACTTACTGAATTAGTGGCATCAAATATATTTTTATCGAGATTAGACTCATATGCCTCTAAGCTCAAAATCAGTCCTCAAATATATGCTCTTCTTCTGGATCTCAAGAGACAAATCGATTTTGGATTGAAAAAGAAGAGGGAATCGAATCAGTAGCTTCACACTACTACTAAAACCTTTCACTTCATCAAATCTAGTCGACTTCAAGGAGTCACATGCTCAAATCAGTCTTCAAATATATACTATTTTTTCCTATCTCAAAAAGCAAATGGATCTTGGACTGGAAAAAGAAGGGGAAAATGAATTAGTAGCTTGGTACTATTTCCAAAATTCTTTCACTTCATTAATTCCAGCCCACTTCGAAGAGTCTCTCATGTACGTTACCGCGAAAGTTACACCAAAAATGAATAAAGTCTTACGAAATTTCTTTCAAGTGAAAAGATAAAAAACAATTTTGATATACAGCCGGAAAAAATTCATGGACCAGACAGCATGATGGATCTATTCTAACTACAATGGTTTTGGAAGATCACGACAAAGAACATGCAGTCCAATAAATATTTTTTCATCGCAACCACCTTTGATCCCCGACTCAACCATGCAAATATTTTTCCTATATCGAAGACCAAACACGCTATCGGGATGTTGGAATTTCGTCCCATTAGTTTGTAATGTATGCTATAAGTGTTGATGTAAGATGTCCGCCCTAAAGTAGTCACTGAGGTATTTGCTGAAGCAGACGTCGTGTTGAGTGGTGAAAATTATGTGGAGTCAAGATGCTGAGCTGGAGTTGTGTAAACTTGGAGAGTAAGGGTGTATCTTGGAGAAAAGGCAAGAAGAATAAACTTGAGGAACAAGTTTATGACTTAAGGAAAGAGGAATAAGTGCATTTCAAGAAAAAGAAAGTTGCATTTAATGTTATGGAAGATGTCCATATTGTGTTCCTTTGAGACTAGGATTTCGGGAACGTGGATAATAAGTATAAGATAGCAATGGGGTCGTCTGCAGAGAGACAGAGACACAGAGGCTGATCTTATAGAGAGAGAGAGAAGCTCTTAAGGTGTTCTTGGGTCGTGCTGAAGCAGAGGCTGAAGTACTTGACGGCAGAGAGACATAAGTGTGTAGCTTAGGAATCTTTCAGTGAAGTGTGTTAGGGTGTAAACACTAGACATGTAAAGCTGATTAAGCAGATCTTGTAATAGAGTGTATAAGGCGATTTCTAATAAAGCTATTGGTGTTTTGTCTCTTGATTTATCTTATGCATTACTTTATAGTGGTGTTATCTTTGCACTTACAAGTGGTATCAGAGCGGGGCACCTAAGTTATCGGTGTAATCCTGAAGGTGAAAATGGACACGATTATTTCGGTGCAGAAGGCAATCGTGTTGAACGCGGACCAGTATGGTCATTGGAAGGCTCGCATGAAGCAGATTATTTGAGGAATCAATGAAGATGCGTGGACAGCTGTGGAGAGTGGTTGGGATGAGCTACCATAGTTACAGGAGATGAGAAGAAGCCCAAGCCAAAAGAAGATTGGTCAGAGGCAGAGCGCAATGCATCAAAATATAATGCAAAGGCGTTGTCAGTGATTTTTGGAGCCGTTGAAGCAGAGCAATTCCAGTTGATTAAGGGGAGTACTTCAGCTAAAGAGGCGTGGAAGATCCTACTGAATTCGTTTGAGGGAGATTAGAGTATCAAGAGGACACGCCTAGATCATCTTGGGTCGCAGTTTGAGAATTTCAGATGGTCTGATGTTGATTATGTGGTGAACTTTAGTGCCAAACTTAGTGCTATGGCGCATGAAGCATTTGTACTTGGGAAGAAGTACAAGGAGAAGAAGCTTGTAAAGAAGTTACTACGCTGTCTTCCAAAGAAGTTTGAAGCTCACAAGGCGGTCTTGCAGATGACTATAAACACGGATGAGCTCAAGTTTGATAAGCTTGTGGGTATTCTGAAGGCACAAGAGATGGAGACAGACAGTAGTTCAGTCTCTACGTCAAGCAGTGCGCCAGGGAGTATAGCGCTTGCAGCTGACAAATATGATGATAGATTCCAGAAGCTTGAAGATACTGTGGGTATGTTGGCTAGGAAGTTTGGTAGGACGAGTCACTTTGGTGGGAGGAATCAGTATGGTCTTCAAGGAGGTGATCTTGGCAATGGTAGAAGAAGAGACTCTATCAAGTGCTACGAGTGTGAAGGAGTTGGTCATGTGAGGGCTGACTGTCCTATGGCACAACGAAAGGAACTTAAGTGTTCTGAGTGCAGAGGTGTTGGACACACAAGACGCGAATGTCCAAACTCAAAGAAGGGAAAAGGAACTCAGTCGTCTGATGATTCAGAGTCTGAAGAAGATGAAAAGGTGTTGAAGAACATGGTTGCATTTGGTGCACACAATGAGGGATTTATTTAGTGAATCCTCAAATTCAGATCGCAGTATAGATGATGAGGAGTATCACATGCTGTTCAACAAGTGGTTGAGGGTCAGGGATCAGAATCTAAGATAGGAGAGTGTGGCTCAGAAGAAAACCAAGTTGCTTGAAGAAGTGCTTGAAGAACTTGCGTCTGTAAAAGACAAGAATGAGTCTCTTGAACAAGAGAATTGGAAGCTTAGAGGAACTAAGAGTACTGGCGTACATCGAAAGGGGCGGTCACAGTTCATGCGAGGGAGCACTTCAAAAAGTGAAGCCAAAGATGTTCGTCATAAAGTACGTCGAGACGTACGACAACGAGTATAGCAGGAAGTTCTACAGCGCGTGACTGTGAGTAACAAGCCGAAAGTGGTACATCAATGCAGCAACATGAAGGTCAGACAGGAGGTTCCGAAGCATGGTTGTGCATCTGGTACAAGGAAGGAGACTGATCGGTGCATCAGCAACTGTGTCAATCCCAAGAAAAAGCAACATATGATGTGCTGTTGGTTCTGTGGGAAGGTTGGACACAAGAAGGTGGAGTGTTTTGCTCGTGAGAAAAGCAGAAACATGGCCAAGAAGGTGAACAAGACGTTCACTAAACCGAAGAGGGTTGAAGAGGTGTTCTTAGCCATGAGTGGCTTACTTGATGAGGTCAGGAAAGGGACATCAGAAGAAGGGTGCAGCTCTAGTGATAGTGATTTTGAGGTTGATCAAGAAGCATCAAGTTTGGAGCAAGGACACGGAGTTGTTTGTGGTTCAAAAGGGAAGGAGATCGAAGTGCGTCAGGAAGTGATGCGAGATGATCTTCAGGAGGGTGATAATGAAATTACTCCAAGACAATAGCAACGAGTGCAGATGGCACTCGGTGTAGATGAGGAGGGGCTAATGGTCAAGCATACGACGCATGAAAGAAGCCTAGTCCTCAACAGAAGTGGGTCGAAAAGTGGTTCGATAGGTGCGTCAGATCGTGATGCAGTACTTGTAATTTATTCCGCTGCGGAAGGGGCTGTGTCATGATTATACATGAAGAGACAGACGTGTGTGTCTGTAGGCTTGACATCTAAGCATCTGTTTTTAGCTTAGTATGCAATCAAGCAGGGGGAGAAGTGGTGACGTTCTGGTCCAAGGAGTGCATATCTCATGGGGGAGAAGAGCATGGTGTGGTGCACATCTCGTGGGGGAGAAAAACACAGTTAGCATGGAAGTTTCCAGATAGGAAACATGGTTGAATGTTGTGCTTGATGGGCACACAAAGCTAAAAGGGGGAGATTATTGATGTAAGATGTCCGCCCTGAAGTAGTCGCTGAGGTAGTTGCTGAAGCAGACGTCGTGTTGAGTGGTGAAAACCATGTGGAGTTAAGATGCTGAGCTGGAGTCGTGTAGACTTGGAGAGCAAGGGTGTATCTTGGAGAAAAAACAAGAGGAATAAACATGAGGAGAAAACTTATGATTTAAGAAAAGAGGAATAAGTGCATTTCAAGAAAAGGAAAGTTGCACTTAATGTTATGGAAGATGTTCATATTGTGTTCCTTAGAGACTAGAGTTTCGGGAACGTGGAGAATAAGTATAAGATAGCAATGGGGTCGTCTGGAGAGAGAGAGAGAGACAGAGGCTGATCTTATAGAGAGAGAGAGAAGCTCTTAAGGTGTTCTTGGGTCGTGCTGAAGTAGAGGCTGAAGTACTTGACGACAGAGAGACATAAGTGAGTAGCTTAGGAATCTTTCAGTGACGTGTGTTAGGGTGTTAACACTAGACGTGTTAAGCTGATTAAGCAGATCTTGTAATAGAGTGTACAAGGCGATTTTTAATAAAGCTATTGATGTTTTGTCTCTTGATTTATCTTCTGCATTACCTTATTATGGTGTCATCTTTGCACTTACAATAAGATCATCTAAAGAATTATGGGCAAGAGCCTAAAGCAATTACTCCTAAAGCTAATACCAGAAACATAGAGGGTGATTAGTTGGACTGTTACTGTAGAATTTAGTCTGTAGAAGTTTCTGATGTAGTTATATCTAATGTAGCTGTAAAAATTATATGAAATTTAAAAAATATATATTCCTACAACAATTGTACAATAATATTTTTTATTTAGAAAATAAAGTTCTTACAACCATTTTTTTCATTTTTTGGTTTTAACTTTAAGAACAACTTAAAGCTTGATTAATGATTTATATGCTTGTAGATAGAATATAAAACTAAATTCATTA